TAATAATAATAAACAAGAAGTTAATATAAAATCTAAAGCAGATTTTAAAGTGAATAGAGCAGATTAAGATTATTTCCTCCATCAGAAGCCTTCCTGCTGCTGTCCTCAGGGCTGTCCTCTCCGTCTGTCTCTAATGGACAGAGCAGGCAGCAGCTCAGCCTCAATCTGAGCTCAGACACATGAAGAAAATCAGCTCGTTTATCGTGTTTTCATGATCAGAGCAGCTCTGCAGAAACAAGCTGTCAGATATTAAAGCTTTTGATTAATTGCTGAAGTAAAAACCAGCAAATCAATCAAAAAGCAGGGGCAGAGCTAGACTTTGTTTTGTAAGGGGTGGAACAGGGGTGGCCAAGTTTTAGGGGGCACATCCAAATAAAGAAAAGCACTCTGAATATGAAGAATTTAAGACTGCCGCCTCAGTTAATTCCAAATGGCTTCAATTCAGCTGCTTTATAAAAACCAAGCAGAAAGTTTGTGTGATCGAGAATAATTAAAAAAAACATGCTAAATGCTAGTTACAACTTAATATTCAGACAGTTTTATACATACAGAACTGAAGATTAGCGTAGAAGTAGCCGAAAACAATCTTTACCAAATTCGAAACGTTAATCAAAAATTCAAGATGGCTACAGTTTACTTTTTAAAAATGCTATAATTCAGACATTTTAAGAGTTCTTGAAATTACATTTGTTGTGGAATAGCTAAGGAGGATCCCATGCTGACTGCAGATGCTAATCCCAAATTATGCTAAACACTAATCTGTCCGTCCATTTTCTTCCACTTATCCGGGGTCGGGTCTCGGGGGCAGCAGTCTAAGCAGAGAGACCCAGACTTCCCTCTCCCCGGTCACTTGGACCAGCTCCTTTGGGGGAATCCCAAGGTGTTCCCAGGCCAGCTGAGAGACATAGTCCCTCCAGCGTGTCCTGGGTCTTCCTCTGGGTCTCCTCCCAGTGGGACGTGTCCAGAACACCTCACCAGGGAGGCGTCCAGGAGGCATCCTAACCAGATGAACCACCTCAACTGGCTCCTCTCGACGTGGAGGAGCAGCGGCTCTACTCTGAGTCCCTCCTGGATGACTGAGCTTCTCAGCCTATCTCTAAAGGGCTCGACACACGGGAGGCGACGTCGCTCGCTCTCCATTCATTTCCTATGGAGCCTGTGCGGTGAGGCGACAATCGCTCGCCCTCCTCCAGCTAAGCGACCGGCGAAAATAGTGCATGTGAAATTTCACGCTCGTACACGTAGACGTGCACACGCGAGCTTGCGACGCGACATATGAAAGTTGAAAAATGTTCAACTTTTGTCGCTGTCGCTTAGCGTACAACCAATCAGCGAGGGTTTCATTGACTGACCAATGAGAGGAGAGTATGCTACACACTGCCGTTAGCTAACACTTTCACCAAGTGATTACTAAAAAGCTTTGTGGGAATTTATTGGCACCAGGGTGAAGTTTATGGTAAGTTTTTCCTCATAAAACTGTATCTCGATGTGTGTTTGTTTTTCAATAACATTAGCATCGCAAGATTTGTTTAGTTTACACGTCCGTAATGCACACCCGCCTTCAGAGTCAAGAACCAATCAAATTTCGTGAAGACAAGCGACCTGAGAGTGCGATTCACAACGCTGCGATCGTTATCGCGTACCGTGTGTCGGGTTTCACCCTGGCTGCGATGACAGCCGTTAATCGCTGTAGTTTGTCGCTCCCCGTGTGTCGAGTCCTTAAGGGAGAGCCCAGACGCCCTGCAGAGGAAACTCATTTCAGCTGCTTGTATCTGTGATCTCGTTCTTTCAGTCACTACTCAAAGCTTGTGACCATAGATGAGGGTAGGAACGTAGACCGACCGGTAAACCACGCTTCACCACGACAGACCGGTACAACGCCCACATCACTGCAGACGCAGCACCAATCAGCCTGTCGATCTCCCGCTCCATACTTCCCTCATTCATAAACAAGACCCCGAGATACTTAAACTCCCCCGTTTGGGGCGGGATCTCCTCCCTGACTCAGACAAAGCACCCTACCCTTTTCTGGAT